TTCTACATTCTCAAATAAGCACATCTGGCATAAAAATCTGTCAATGCAAATCAAGGTTTTCATCTGGCATAGATTGTTCTGAGGCCATCTATGTGCCCTTTATGCAGAAGTCATCTGGATACTCTTAACCATTTGTTTTTTCAGTGCAAATTTTCACAAGGAATTTGGAGATATTTTATGGGAATATTCCAAATTCCTATTCCCGGTGATTTTTATTCTATTCGGCAAGTTTTTATTCAATGGTGGTTGGAAGCAGGATCTAAAACTTTGGCAGATACTTTCAAACACATTATGCCAGGGGTTATTTGTTGGTTCATATGGAAGTCTTATTCTTCCTATACTTGGGGTTCTGAACCTATTCCTAGCGCAATGCAAATTATAGACCAGATCAAATTCTATTCATAACGGTGCTCTGCTAATCTTTGCAAGTTCAAGAACAAAAGAGTGGATGATTTTCTGAAGGAGGAGGGTCTAATTTATCATAATTTTAGATTTAAAACTTCTGGAATCCATATCATTAGATGGAAAAGACCTAAGTGTGACTACAAGCTCAACATTGATGCATCTTTTATACTTGGATTTGCTGCTGGAGGTGCCATCCTTCGCGATAAAATGGGTGAGATGATATGGGCGATTAACTTCAGTCTGAAGGCCAGTTCGAGTGAGGAGGCGGAGCTTCGTGCGATTATTCAAGTGACGACCTGGGCCATGGACAAAGGGTATGTAAATTTCCAGGTTGAGAGTGACTCTTACGCTGCGGTGAAGAAGATTTGTGAGGAACCGGTGGGGAAATGGGGTTGCCTAATTCTGCCGTGTCGGGAGCAAGCTATCCAAAAAGGTATTAACTTTAGTCATATCTTTCGTGAAGGGAATTGGACAGCCCACTCCTTAGCAGATAGGGATTTGGTCACGGGCCAGCTCAATTATTTTAGTCCTATTTTGGGAATTTAAACTTTAAACTCCTATTGTTACAATTATCCTTTTATTTAGTTCTATTTAGGTAAATCTCTCAAAATATATTCATTTCCAAAACTAGATTACCCATATAAGCTCAACGATGGGTTATCTACAATCTTAATAATCATGTGATTGAGCTATTACAGTATTACACTATTACTACGTAGTTACATATTTACATTCCAAAATTAATGAGATGACTAAAGTGTTAAAGTATCAAAAAAAGGGAAGAAGTTAAATACAAATAATTGATATTGATATCAAATATTACATTTTGTATGCTCTTAAAACCAAAATTGTCCATATTTGAGAATACACCAGAATATCAATTAGAGGTACAAATGATACATGGTTGGGAATCGTTGTTTTTGCTCATCTTCTGCAAGACCACAACTGCACTGAAAAACTTTAATAAATTACATATTACAAATTAAATTTAAAATGATTAACAATTTGTATGAAAATAATCAAGATATCCAAAATAAATAAATACAATCAGGCTATCAAGACATTCTTGTATAATATTAAAAAATAACAGGAAAATATTTTATAATATGAGTTAAACAACATGCTACGTAAAAGATATTCTACCCACTATGTATTTCAATAAAATGTATTTTTTGTAAATGTATAAAAAGAATTTTATACTCCCTCCGTTCTTTATTATCTGTCCCTCTATATCTAGCCTTAGACACATGTTTTAAGAGAAAAATAGTAGGGTAAGTATAGAGTGTAAGGTAAGCAGGAAAGATGGTATAGTATGCTAAAAAGAGTAAAGTGATGATAAAGTATGAAAGGGAGTATATTAAGTAGAGTAAAGTGATGATAAAGTAAAAAAGAGAAAGTAGTTTGTAAAAAGTAAGAGGGGTAAAAGTAATAAAAGTACGTGGAGGTATTTCATCAAAAACTTTCATAAAATAGAAAGGAAATTTAATAAAAAACGGATGAAAATGGAGTAGAGATAGGGGTGAGCATTCGGTCGGTCAGTCGGTCAAATAACCTACCGATAACCGAATAACCGACCAAGTTTTTTCACTCCAATAACCGACCGAAAATCGACCGATAACATCACTATAACCGACCGAAAAACGTAGTTCGGTTTCGGTCGGTAACCGAATAACTGACAATAACCGACCATATAAATTTTTTAAGCATATTTGTTTCAAAAATTTGAATGCTTTAAATAAACATATTAGAAAAACATTTGATACTAAAATGGATGAAATCAACATATTTAGTATATATTGATTTTTTATCATTTTGTTCCAATAAAATGGATCACGAGAGCATGTTGAGGTCTAAAATTTTGTAGAAAATGCATAGTGCAAGTAATTATTATTAGTCATATATATTAAATAAATTACATCCATGTCTTCCACTATCAAAGCTAATTTCAACTCATCATTTGATTTCCTATTCCCATAAATATTGCCGCACTACCTACAATATTCATCAAGGAAGTGTGAAGGCAAAATTGTTGCATGTCGCATTTTGATTATATGGGATGAAGCTATGCTGATAAAAGATGTATGTTCTAACATTTTAGATGTTACACCAAGAAACATCACGAGCAACTACATGCTATCGTTGATCAATGACCTAGGAGTTACATATCTTAGTTACAATGTTGAATATCTTAGTAGCGCTTCAATGGTTGGGTTGCCCAAGCATGTCCTTCATTTGAAATTCGAGCACCCGATAATGTAATTGAGGAATATTAATCATGCATATGTTTTATTCGATAGAACGTGATTGGTCATAACCAAATTGGAAAAACAAGTATATATGACAAGTCATAATTCGAAAAGTTATGAAAGATAAAGTTTACATATTGAAAATCTCACTATCACCATATGACAACTTTATTCAATTTCCGAATAAAGCAATTTATTGTGCTGGTAAGCTTTGCAATGACAATAAAAAAAATTCAAGGCTAAATGTGATCACATAAAGTTTGATTTATATTTTGAGAGAGATGTTTTATTAATGACCAATTGTACATTGCAATACCAAGAGTAATGATTAAAGATATCTTAAGATATTCATATGTCCAAAAGAAACAAATTTCTTCGCCACGACGGTGAACATCGTTTATAAAAAGGTTTCCCAATTTAAACCTAACAATGCGATGTTTGATATGTGCGGTGTTACATTACAATGTCTCTTTTTAAAATATTCTCTTTAATTAAAATACTATTCACAACAATAACAGTTTAATTGAAATAAAATGATTAATTATTTATATATTTTATAAAATGTATATTTTACAAAGTATTCAAGCATTCACAACCTCAGCCCGGGACAACGCCCGAGTAAAACACTAGTTACCAATAAAGGCAAAACAAGTGGTATTCAAGCCCACGTCGACTATTGAAACAAGAACTTAGTGGTATAGAAAATATTCTCGCTGATTATGGGACTCTATTAAGCGCAAGTTCACTTCAACCGTCCGTTTGTTTTCGTGATTGGCTAAAAGCAAGATATCATACACAAGAATGAGATATTGTACTGATAAAACATTTCATGGAAGAAACTATCGCCAATGGCCAAATGGTGAAAATGGTAGCTCTAGAAAATGGAAAAATTTCACTTTTATATTCTTAATGTTAAAAGCTGGATAATTTATATAATTAAAATAAAGAACTACATTGACTTTGATTTCTCTACAACTATAAACAGAATACAGAGACACCTTTTATTGAAGCCAATTTGTTATTAAAAATATATACCTAAAATATGGTTTAATATTGACTTACTTTTAATGCATTTTTACACTTGTTTATTAGTATTTTGAAAATGTATTTAAAAAAAATCACTTTACTCGTTAAAATTTTGCGATCTTTGAATTTTTCAATCAATCATGCTAAATTTTAACCAATTATACTACCTACGTCCGAAAAAACTTTGTCATTTTAATATAAATTTTTACTATTTTTTTTTATAAAATTATAGATACACAATTGATTTCTCTTATCTATTTTTCTTTTACTTGTTGCATTATTTACTTTTTGAAAAGTTACGTGTTGCATTATTAGATGATACCGACTAGTTTTTTTTTGGCAAAGTATAACTTAATTATTAATAAAATTGAGAATCAGATACAAATTCGTCATAACAAAGGCTACACTGGGGTGAGACCAGAGCTGGATTCGCATTTACTAGCCAACCATCTCGCAAACCCCGCAAATTGGTAGACTCCATATACAGCAATGCTACACCTGCTACTAAAAGGGAATTGAAAAGACATAACAGAGTTCTGAAATGAAAAAACAAAAGAGGAACATAATCCAGTTTGACCAGCCACTGACAAGGGAACAGCGGTTTGACCAGCCTCCGCTAAAGGATGATACAGAGTAGTTATTATAGGTTTACTATTTTTTGTAAAACTATAGATACATAGTTGAATAATCATTTAGTTGTTGACTTATTGATGGTCATTGATGGTTGGTTTGTTGAATTTTGAAACACTAAAATTGTAAATGTATTTATAGGGTTGTTTGGTTTCGTATTTACTATATACTGCCTCCGTATTTTAAAGTTTGATATGCTTTTTTTTGGAATGTATTTAAAAATTTGCTACATTTTTCCTTTTTGGTAAATTTTTCCTTTAAAAATATTCAACTACCCTTTACTTTTTCTACTGTTTATCTTCTCTTTCATACTTTTACACTCTCTGCTATTCATTACTCCTACTATTTCTTTCTTAAATAATGCGCACAATGCTACTATAGTGAACTTATAAATATTATGTATTTTAAAATTTTATTAAAATTTCCATGAATTGTGTAGTACTGAAATTGTGAATGTGTTGAAATGTGATTATCATGCATTTTAGTTCTGGAAAAAATATTTTTCAATTGTTTTGTGTTGAAATGTGATTATCATGCATTTTAGTTCTGGAAAAAATATTTTTCAATTGTTTTTTAATCAGTCCATTTTATCACCCACCCCTAGGAGGCTAGGACCTGAAACTGTGAAGCCAGCCACACATAATCTGGTAGACAGTATCACCAAAGACAAAATGATTATGACACAAAACATAGATAACTTCTTTTTGTTAACACCAGGTGATCCCAACTTCATACACGTGTACAAGCCGAGAGGAGTCAAATACAGGTATTAAAACGTCAAAAACATTACTCCCCGTTACATGATTATTCCAAAAAAACCGGGGCTACAGCTTTTTGGACGTAACAAGACATCTCACAAACAAAAAATGGTAGCTTTCCAACCTGTCAAACATGCCCTTTTCTACAACTCTTCAAACTGAATTGAGAATCCGCAACAACAGCGCTTTGTTCGATTGGAACTATCTGCATCTAAAGTCTGATCATCCTGCAGGAAAAACACGTGTTCATGGTGCTCTTCTTCTGCACCTAATAAAATTTGATTATTCTTTTCCAGCATCTTTTCTTGATTCCCTTCTGCTTGACTCGTCATCATTTTCACTGAGCTGTCAGGGTCGAGGTTTTGAGCGCTAGACGGCCCACCACTTGCATAGGCATTGTTTAACCTTTGGCGGGTGATGATAGATGAGAGAAGTTGATACCACCTTGAGAGTGCTTCTGCTTCTGCTCTGTGTTTCTCTACCGCCTCTCTTCTCTCCTCCTCTTCTGCATATGCCTTGACAAATGTATGCTACCATGTTAAGAGATGATTGACTTGCATCTTGATGAGAAAAACGGTGGTGTCATTAATCCTAATTGCTCTGGGTTAGTGGCATGACAGTGACATTTAGTGTGCTCACTTGATTCCTTATGAACCAATTTTTATATCAAAAGCTAACTTATTTTACTGCATAAGCAGAACTGACATAAAAAGGCAACTAGTGAAGATAAATGACCATCAAAGCCCTTATATCACAGTTATTATTTCATTGGATTTGTACAAGTGTTTTGTTTATGTAGATATTTCAGTCTATTCAGCAACTTCTGCCAATTCAGTTGATTTTTACCTCACCAAAAACGTCATATGTTTAATCAATTGTCTAAGATTGGTTAGTACTCCCTCCGTCCCTAATAACTTTGCCAAGTTTGACCGGCACGGGGATTAATAAAGTAAAAACTGTGTGGTTGAGGTTTGTGCAGAGGAGAGAGAATTAACTGGAACCACAAATTCTTTACTTAAATGGGAAAGTGGCAAAGTTAATGAGACATCCAAAAAAGGAAAGTTGGCAAAGTTATAAGGGACGGAGGGAGTAATACAAATTCATGCAAAAACTTGATAAAACAAACATTGTGAGTAAAGAGATGGCAGCTAAAACAATCGCCATCAGAGCTTTTCTTGCTACTTGCATGGGAAAGGTAATTAGATTATGATGAATTGAGATGGTTCGTACTCCGCCTGTAAGGGTTGGGATTGCTGGAGCATGGTCAGATGGCCCACCATTTTGATTTCTGGAAACTCCTAAATAGATATTACTAAATTATTCCTCTTAATATCCAGTGACCACCATCTGGTAGTGACCTGACTCCCGCACCACAATCTGCCAGTGACCCACCAGGCCACCACCCACCCCCCAGTGACCAAGTGATAGTGACTCTGCTGGTCCAATGACCCTGACAATCCTGTGACCTATATTTTTTCTAGTGTACTATTGCCTCTGTGACTCATTGTCGTGATCTACTTTTTCCCATAACCTACCACACAATGACCAACTAGTGACCACCACTAGTGACCTATGTTTCTCATGACCTGCCGACCGAATGAACCACCTCTGGCACTCATTGGTCCCACTGCTACAGTAATGCAACCAACACCTGCTCCCTAGCCCCACACTGCACCAACCCCCACATCCCACCTCATTTCCATCCCCTCTCCCAACCCCTACCCTAGTCCTTCGCCGCTGCCCCCACCCCTGCCCCAACCTTCTTCCCTAGTAACTGTCCCAACCACTGCCCCCACACCTCCCCAGTATCCAACCATGGCCAATGCCCTAAAACTCTTCACCACCACTGACCTAACCCTGCCCCACCCTAACCCGGCTGCTACAACCACTAAAACCCTAGCCGACATGAATAGTCAGTCACATCCCTCGCCAATAGTTTTTTGTGGTTGGAATTGCCTTCCTCTGTGCCATCACTCGCCACTCATTGTCATCGGCAACATGTCCATGGATTTCAATCGTCAATTCACATTAACCCCATCCCCCAGCGTCCAAGAGAAAGAGAAGAAGAGGAAGTAAAAACCTGTGGTGTGGCCGTGGAACGGTGGCAGCGGGAAGATGACGGAGACGAGCGACAAAAAAGAAGAAAGCAAATGGAAGGGTTGTAGACGAGCGTAGCAGATGGCCTGGGAACTCGGGTTATTTTAGTTTTATATTAGGGGCATTTTTTACTATTCAGTGAGAGTATATCCCTTTTTACTATTAAATGATCATAGTTAGTAGTTAAGATTTAATTCTAGAGCCGGCAGGTATTCGGTCCAGGTCTGGAACATAAAATAAATTAACGCGTCCAAGTCTGGAACATTGTTCCTGTCTGTACCCGGCCCATTGACAGACTTATATAACACTCTTACTTGGGACAAAAAAAAGTAAAACTTTTATAGGGCAGAGGGAATAGTTGTTTTAGCCATGTCAGCATCGCTAATAATATGATAAAACGTATTCATTAGTGTCAAAGAAAATGAAAGTAATGAGACCATTTGAACCTGGCAGTCTAATTATGGAGCTATGCCTACGTTTTAAATTAAAAATATATATGCTACTAGGGAGGCAAACTCTATTACTAATCAAAAGAAAATTTCCACTAACCTCTAAAATTGCATCCTTGAACTCAGCACACACCACAATCCCCTTAAATACAGGGACAGAACGGCTGTTGCGGAAGTCAAATCCAACCATAGCAGGGGCAAAATCTATTTCTAATCTTTTTGCTACCAGATATACCCTTGGCAATGGCAAATGAACAGTTCCTGGAGGCAGACACTTTTCTGACCAAACATCAACTTGGCCACGTTCATTCTGAAGGAAATTCAAGTAGTGTCGAACTATATTACCTTTCCATAAAAGCAAACACTTAAAGAAGAAGATGTGCAGTTGAATTCAAAAAAAAAACAAAAAGTTCCAACCTTTAGGATCCATTTGGAAACTAGGGAAAGAAAAAAGAGAGGATATTTGGAAGGAAATTTTGGAGAAGCTCATTTACTCGTATTATTTATTTCTAATACATGCATGCAGATTGCAGACTAGGAAATCTAAATGTGCTAAAAAGTAATGATATGCTATCAGCAATTATCCTTTGCAAGTTTTCCAATTTGAAGCGGAACACAGAAAGATAACCCCAACAAAAGCTTACTGCAAAAGGAAAATACAAAACACTAGATGACGAATCATAGATACTGTACTGTTACAGAGATGGCAGAGGCAACTTCTAAACTTTTCATATACATTACTGCATATACTGTAGTATACAGAATTCATCAATGCAATCATTCCTGCAGGAATAGAAAGTAACAATTGTATCAAACTTTACCTTGGGGACAATGCCATTGACTGCAGGAGGTAGAGACAATGGTTCTGTTTGCCATCTTCCATAAAGTTCAATAGTTCCACCTGAATCTCCCTCACTACTCTCACCATCTTCACCAAAAACTTCTGTTCTTTTCTTTTGAGAATGCTTTAAAATCTAAATGAGTAAGAATAAAAGATTACTAAAGGCGTAAAGAATTGCTCCAGTAGGGAAAATAAAAACCAAAGTTCAAGACATAATAAAACCTTTGCTGGGGGTTCATTAGCTTTGACTTGCAGCCCATCCCGCAGCCACCTTTGCTTTGTTTGGAGTGTTTGAACACAAGTTCGTGGGTATACAGGATGACCCGAACAAAATCCCAAAACAGGCCCCTTAGGATAAAGTACTTGATACTTGTTAAGCCATTTTTCTATAGCATACAAATGATGTGTTCTGTAAGCCTGCATAGTGAAAATAATGAGAAACACATGGTTGGAATCAGCTTAATACAAACTTCACCAAAAGCGCTAGGCTCCTACTCTATGCAAACTGGGGCCTAGCGCCAACCGAGGGACCCAACCCAGCCTTAGGGGTTGAATATAATGATATAAATACATAATTGTACACGCAATAAATATCTTTTAAGTTAATAAATCTAGACCCCCTAAATTTAGAATATTATCAATAACTATATCTCGAAAAAGGGGATGCTTTATTAAGGTAAAATTTTTGGTAAAATGTGACTTTCGAAAACCACCAATCCTAGTCAATTTTTAAAAATTAATTGTTAGTTTATGCAGTTAGGCCCAGTTGTAGCTATAAATATGACTATTTTTGTAATCCTTTAAATTACCATAATAAGAATGAGTCATACTTCACATGGCCGAGTCAGTAATTATTCTATCTAATCACTTAGGTCATCCAAGCGTCTCAAAACTTCAAAGAATGATTTCACGTTTATCTCGCCTTCCCTCATATTGTCAGTCGTGTCATCTTGGCAAACAACCCTGTCAGTTCATATCCCCCCGTTTGATTTAGTTCATACAAATTTTTAGAGTCCAAATCGTGTCAAATCTACTTTAGGTTTCCCTTATTTTGTTATATTCATAGACGAGTGGACGACTATTCTCGATACACATGGTTATTTTGAAATGGTTATTTTTAATGAAAGAATGATTTGAGTTATTCCAAATATTCCAAAAAAATGTGCTCAAATTTAAATACCATTTGATCATTCTGTTAAAAGTCTATGCAGTGATAACGTCCACAAATTCTTTTCAACTCCATTTAATCATTCATGGCTTCTCGCGAAATGATCAACTAGTCCTCTTGCGTATATACCTCAACAAAATGGTTTTGCTGAACGTAAGAATTGTCTTAATATTGGGTTGATGCTATTCTCACTATGTGTCACCTAATCAACAGAATGCCTCATCAATACTTAACAATGATATGCCTTATTCTATCTTGTTCCCTAAGCTTAAATTATTTCCTTTGTCACCTTGTGTTTGAGGTGTTGGTTTTGTTCATGGGTCAATCAAATGCATTTTTCTTGGACATTCACGCCTTCAAAAGGGATATCGTTATTATTCTTGAATAATGAAGAAAAAATTTATCTCAGCTAATGTCACCTCCATTGAGTCTTTCCGGTCCATCTATGTGGCCTAACTTTGAACCATATTTCTACACTCCTCACTACACAACCAAATAATAACACTAAAGTTACATCAGAAGCCCAACCATATAATATTATAATCCTCCCATCTCTCCTCATTAAGGTTGTTAAATTTGAGATCCTAGCACGTCTCGAAACTACACCGGACGAAAACATTGATTGTTCCAGAGCACATCTAGTAGCGAAGCAGTTCACTCAAATTTATGGGTCGGATTATACCGATACCATACTTGTCACGGCGGTAAGGCAAGTCGCGGCGCCAGCCTACCGCCATATTGCCTAGGCTACACGGCGCTTGCCTAGGCGACAATTAGGCGACTAGTCGCACATTATATAAATTTATAATACATTACATATAATTACATACATAATTCTATATATAGTTATATATAATATTGTATTTAACTACATTTAATTTGTAACTTACTACCTCCGTCCCCCTATTATTGTCCCAGTGCAGTTTACGATGTTTGACCGACGATAAAGCAAAATGATATATTGAAACTACATTAAAAGCTTTACAAAGTCGCAAAAACCAGAATCAAATTTGATAAAAAATTGATTTATAAAGTAAGAGATTAAGAGTGATTTGTGTTGACCAAGTGAATAGGAATTGGGACAATAATAGGGGGACAGAGGGAGTATTATATATCATAAGTCCTTATGATTTTACTTTATTATTCAATTGAATCTAAATATATTAATATTCTAATATTAATAAACTGCAATAAAAAATATATTTATGAAACACAACAAAGAAGAGCATGCGTATTTATAAAAAGATATGCTAGATATATTAATATATATAAAAATATGTAGTATAAGATTTACTTTGTGTCCCACTTGGCTACTCGCCTACTCCCCACTCCTAAAAAAGCATACACTTGCCCACTTGCAGTATTAGATAAGGTAGTAAGGTACACTAGAAGAAACAGAAAGAAGAAGTAACTAAAAATTTTAAAAAAAAAATCAGCGGATTAACCCATAGAACCTGGGAGCAACGTTGGATGCTCGACTTCTTTCTGCAAGGTTGAGGCTGGAGTTGTATGGGACGACGATTGAGTTTACGAATGGTCAAGCAAGATTTGGACTTGATTTCGTAACTCCTAATTAAATTAGTTGTCTAAGTTTTATTTCCAAAAAACTAAATCTGGGCCTTCGGTTTGGACTTCGAAATTTTTAATTTTATTCTACAACTTCTTGTTTGGCAAATGCCTTCTCGCAACGCCATGGTCGCCTATTCTTCTTTCGGTGAGGCGATGGCTCTTTGTAACCTCTCCCCAGCGACTGGACACCTAGCTGGCGCCTAGGCAACACCGTAACAAATATGACTGATACATATTGTTTTGTCCAAAATTACATCAGTTCGCTCACTTTTGTCTATGATGGCCATGACTCTTTGGCCATTGCACCAATTGAATATAAAAAATGTTTTTCTTCATGGTAATCTTGAGGAGAAAGTTTATACGGAGCAACCACAAAATTTTGTTGTTCAGGGATAGTCTGGTTATGTGTGCAAGTTACGACACTCCTTATATATTTGAAGCAATCTCCGCGTGCGTGGTTTGGGAGATTCAATGATGTTATTTGTGGATTTGGAATGATCCAAAGTGATGTTGATCATTCGATTTTCTATAGGAATTCCATAGGAAACAGGTGCATTTATATAGTTGTATATGTTGATGACATTACCATTGTCATTACAAGTGACGATGAACAAGGAATCACTCAATTCAAGGAATATTTCTTTAGCAAATTCCAAATAAAAGATTTGGGGAAGTTAAAATATTTCTTTGGTATTGAGGTCAAACAGTCTCACAACAGTATTGCCTTTTCCCATAGTAAGTATATGTTGGATAAGAAGAGGAAGTAGATATGCTGGAGTGTAGACTTATAGATACACTCGTGGACCCAAATGTCAAACTCTTACCTGAACAATATAAGTTCTTACCGGATCAAGAGAGATCCAGAAGACTCATTGGGAAACTAAACTATCTCACAATCACGAGACTAGAATCACTAGATATATCCTTCGTTGCAAGTGTATTTGACTAGTTTCGAGATAAGCCATGTGATAGCCATTACCCATTGGGATGCAACTACCCGAGTCTTGAGATGCATATAGAAAACACCAAGTCAAAGATTACTCTACAAAGACGAGACCATAATAATATTGTGGGATACTGTGATGCGGATTGGGGTCTGAAAACTAGACGTTCTACTTCAAGATATCGCATCTTGATTGGTGGAAACTTGATTTCATGAAAGAGTAACAAACAAGAAGTTAAAAGATCAAGTGATGAAGCACAATACCCTACAATGGCCCCTGTTGCATGTGAAATTTTGTGGTTAAAGCACCTCTTTCAAGAATTGAGGTACGGAAACATGAAACTAGTACAACTGATGTGTGATAACAAAGTTGCAATGCGCATTGTGTCTAACCTCGTATTTCATGAGGACAAAACATAGAGGTTGATTTTCACTTCATCCGAGAATAGATTTTAAATGGACAAATTATCAAAATCTCTTTGAGGTCCTAGAATATAATACACTTGTAACAAACTTAGTGCATTTGATTTAAGGGGAGTGTAGTTAGACCTAGTTGTAGCTATAAATATGGCTATTGATGTAATCTTATCTTTTAAATCATCATTAAAAGAATGAGAGGCATATTTCACATTTTAACAAATTTTACTTGTTTGAGATACTGATAAAAACAGACAATAACAATCAACGGAAATAACCGTTGCCAAAGCTTGAGAGCTTAAACACACAAATTCTTATTAATAAAGCATCGTTTGAAATAACCCTCTTGAGGGGATTAAATAGACTACAAGTCCTAATTAAAGAAAAACTCCAAAATAACATAAACTAGGAAATAACATAAACTAGGAAATAAACTGGAATTAGGAAACTAATTAAACTAGGAAATAACAATCCAATTAATTCTTCCAGCCAGCCTAGCCCACGGATGTGGGCTTTTCCCGATCCCGCCTGCGATACACGATCAAAGGCCTGGGGCCTTCGTCTTCCTCGGTCGCACTCGCCTGTCTTTCTTCTTCCTCGGTCGAACGAGCCTGCTCGCTATCAAATTCACCCTCCTTAGAAAGAACCTTGTCCTCAAGGTTGAAATCAGGAAACTGACTCGAAAAGCTTGCTTTGTTCACCCAAGTTGCCACGTCTGTAGACTGTCCAGCCCATTTAACCAACAACTGCTCTTCCTTGTCATCTTTTTTTCTGGTAGCTAAAATGTCCTCAGGTTCAAACACTGGTCCTACGGGCAGTTCCAAGCTTTCGGGTAACTCATTTTCCACAGGGTGATCACCGATTACCTTCCGCAGCTGTGAAACATGGAAGACCGGGTGGATACGGCTGGTTGCTGGCAGTGTCAAGCGGTAGGCTGCCTTCCCAATGCGTGCTTCAATCACAAATGGCCCATAGAACTTTGCAGATAGCTTATGGTATGATTGGCTGGACAGAGTTGTTTGCCGATGTGGCCTGACCTTTAGAAACACTTTATCTCCAACCTGGAATTCCACGTCGCGGCGGTGTTTATTTGCTTGGGTTGCCATGCTTTGTTGTGCCTTTTGTAGATTCTCTTTTAACCGCCTTAACATCACATCCCTGCTACCCAACTCATCTGTTACGGCTGCCACTCTGCTTTCTCCAGGTATAAACCTCCGAATCGTCGGGGGTGGCCGGCCATATACCACCTCGAACGGAGAGAGTCGGGCTGCTGTCTGGAATGCAGTATTATACCAATATTCTGCCCAATTTATCCAACGT